CTTGTAGTTTTTCTGGAAATCAAGGGAAACCGTTTTTTACCCTTAAAAACTCACCCCCTACCCCTTCCCGACCTCAGATCGCCCGTAAATTATTTTTCCTTTCATTTCTGTTATATTCTCTTTCTTTTCCAATGGGTTTCATCCTACTATAATTTTTTTTGGTTTCAAAAATTATCGACCCTGGTCTAAGTTTATAGAGGCAATCCTTAAAATACAGAAAAAAGGCAGATAATTGATTTGCCGTACGATGTTCTATTTAAATCTTCCACATTTTCCTGCTCGGATAATCAGACTAGACTTATTCAGCAGCTCCAATATAGTGGAAAGTTTGTTAAAAATCTTTGATTCTGGAACATCTAGATCTGTGTCCACTCTCTAGGCTGAGGGAAAAACTTTTAAGAAATTGGAAGAAAACCCCGGAACTAACGTTAGCAACCCTAATATTCGCAGATTTGTCAGGATTTATAGGCGAGCGGTGCACCCCTAAAAAGACGCACCAAAAAACGAGTGGACCGACCACGGAGATGGCCCAGGATGAAACCTTTTCTAATCGCTATATTACGTTGTTGCGAACAAAAAACCTTAATGACATTTTTCTGTATCGATGTTCAGCAATTTGTAATTAACAAGAAAACTTGCTAAATTGCGAAAACTTAAAAAATCGGTATGAAAATACACTAGTTATGTATATTGGGCAAAAGTAAGCAATTTTTAACTCTTGTGACTTTTTCGAAAAAGCTTCGTTTTCGAGCTACAAGCGATTCAAAGTCGAAAAATAACCAAAAGTCGCCATTTTCAATTTATGTTTTCTCGGATTGTACTGGAGCTCTTTTATTTTTTCTTGTTCGAGGTTACTCACCGAAAGTTATATTTTCATGTTATATATTTTTTTACCCGGCGACTTTTTTCCTTCCAAAAGATACGCTCCAAAAGATACGCGACCGAAAACTCGTGAAATTCACCGTTTCACCTCGAAAGTGCACCCTGTGGACGAAGAAGTTGTCTGCATTACAATTTATCTGAACTAGTCAATTCTTCGAATTCAAGTGACAGAAAATTGAAAGAAGGACCTTAAATCCGAAAAATATTTCACGGTGAACATTTCGAAACAACAATGACATGTACTGAGTGAGCAGTGAGGCTGAGTTTTCGCAACATTGGTCAAAACTTTTTAGAGCATCCCAAAAGCCAGAACCACGATACTGTTGAAGGAAAAATAATAAGAAACTACCAATGTTTAAGATGTTTAATGGATGTAAAAAATTTTTCTTGGATTCCTGAAAACTTAAACTGAGATCTGGGGCACCTGAGACTTATAACCACTAGTGTCATCTAATTTGTTTGCACACTATTTTTTTTATTTTGTGTGCCTCAGAGTGTGTGAGTCGGAGAGGATATTCGATACAGTGTTAGAATACGAATGAAATTAAATTACTTTATATCTTTAAAGACACAAAAGCTAATAATAAAAAAAAATTGTAAATCTGATCTCGGATTTGTGATCAGTGACCCCGAAAACCCCAGAATACCAAATTTGGCGCGAATATGTTATTTTTTTAAATTTGGTCGGCCATCTTCGATCCGCCATCTTGAATTTTGCAAAATTTACCGCGGATCCGTGATCAGCGACACCAAAAACCCCCGTATAAAAAACTTGCCGCGAATCTGTTATTTTTTGAAAATTCGTGATATCTGACCCGCTTTTTTTAGGTTAGAAAAATAACCATTAATTCTGACCGCGGATTCACGTTCGGCGGGGTCTTAACCATATAAATGAACATTTGAATATAAAAAAAATTTTGTACTTTTCCTAGCACATTTTTCGTAAATTTTTGCTATTTTTTATCTGTTTTTTGAGGTTAGGAAATTCCTGTGATCTGATAACTCAATTCTGACACCGGATTCGTGTTCAGGAGGCAAAAATACTACGGATAATATATGTCTCATGAAAGGTACAGACAACTTTTTTTTTGGCTGTTATTATGAATGAATATTTATTGTAATTGTATGTACAGTTATTACATTTAGTACTATTTATAAAATCTGGATAATTATTCCCCTCGCGTTTACTAATTGTTACATTTTTCTCAAAATGATTTGACTGCTCCATTTCAGTCACCGAAGGCTCAACATTATCTGACTGATCCACTAAAACAGCATGACGCGACGTACTACTAGAACCTGGAGTGGAACTGTCATTGTAGAGAATCCTGTTGACTATTTCATTTTTATTAAACTGTCAGCAACATAACTTTCTGTAAATGTGGCTGATTTCCACCCAACATGTCTCTTGATTGTTAATACATCAACTCGTGTATTAGCCAGTAACGTTGACGATGTTCTTCAGAATAAATGGCCTGTATATGTTTCAGGATGTTCTAGTTTCAAAAACTGTGCAATCTTATTTGGAATAATAGAAAGCGTATTCTTGCCGACTGGTTGGTTGTAACATCTACCGGCTTGATAGCGCATAAAAAAGCGTGAAATTTCAGTTTTAATTTCCAATCTAATCTTGATATATTTTTTAAGAATTTCTAGGTGAGAAACATAACCAGAAGAGAAGTAATTGTAAATGTACGTCACATACCATTTTTAGAATCTGGAATTGTAACTACAATGTCATCGAAATTTTTGAAATTAACGTCCAAAGTAAGTTTGCATAACTCATCAGAACGGCATGCTCCTGCAATGCCTAAGACCATCACTACCTTCAATAGCAAACATGTGTTATCCGGTGCCTGAACGAGAAAATCGTTGACTTGTTCTCTTGTAAAAACGTTTGGCTTTTTAGGTGTATAGCCGTCATTCTTACGTTTCAAAAATGCTGTTAGCTTGGGGTATTTTGATATATCCACGTTCTCCTCTATGAAAATAGTTGACTTAATCATTGAGTATTTACTCCACAAACTCGCCGGTGACTTTAAAGTTCTTGACTTCTCCATGAAATATACCAGCAGTCACATTTCAGAAACACCAATATTTTTGTTCTGGCACCATTCTTTAAAATTTCTATATACTCGGCCGTTTTGCACTTTCGACTTCTCGAGCAATAAAAATTCGCAGGCAGCATTTGCTGCACTTTCTATTTGAAAATCACTCATTTAGAAATAATAATGCAAAGCCAGCAAAATTGCAACTTTTATGTAGCTTAGAAACGACAAAATCCAAACAACCAAAGCGACTNGCGCAATGTCGTGGTGGAATGCGATTTCCATTAAGTTGATCATATGGGCCAAGAACTGATAAATATCGAAATCCTCGCCTCTTATTTTTGTTATGTAAACCCTGTACAGATCTTTAGTTTGCTTCGGGAGGGAGACGAAAACTCTGGAAACATTGGTGAAATGATATATTGAGTCGGGACCACTTATTATTGATTTCTTTAACTTTTATTACTTTTAACATAACATGGTCAAAGAAGATCGTCGTAAAGTTACGACGATTTTAGCTACTGGTATCAACATATTTGTAAGGACAACGAAAGAATCACGTGGCCACGAGTAAATGCGATTTGCTACCACAACGTAAACAAGTTTTGTCCTTATTGAAATTATATTTTATCTAATTGTCGATATATCCCAAGTGAGTTGCTTTGATCGGGTAAGTGAATGTACAGAATGTCTCAAAGTCGATAGTATGGGCCTAGTGAGGATACAAAATATTTAAATAAAATTTGGGACACGTGATGTTAAATGGGATGAGGTAAGCTCCATTTTCAATCGAAAGTATTATCACAGACAAAATAGCTATCGCCACAGACCGCTACTGGAATAGGACAGCAGTTTTAAATTTCCGAATTGCCGGTAGAGTACACCACCAGCAGAATTTTAGGAAGAATCAAATGCAGAGGCCCGCATACATACGCGTACCCTAGCAACATATAAACAAGACTTTGGGAATGTTGCCAGGCGTACTTACGGATTTCTTTTGTACACTTTTTTTTTATCAATATCTGTTTTCTGCGTTACTGTATTTACTTAAATGTATGATGTAGGTATTGATAAAAATGTTTTTTAAAGAATCAACGAATATCTATGTAGTTTCATATGATATTCTGCAGCGGTGTTACAATTNGATACACTGGGAACTGTTTACGAACTTCATCAACCTTTTTGGTTGAAACCAGTGCAATGTTCGAGACTCTAAAAATGTAACAGAAATGGAAACACTCATCTGTGGTAGAAGGTTTCTTAGTGGGGAGCATCTCTTCTAAGAATAGAGTATCCACCATGATTTTAAAGGCATTAGGTGAATCACTGTTGAGTATCAAAGTAACTACTAGTGGACAAACTTCCTCTACAAGGTTTTCAAGATACTCGAAAAACTTTGAACCATAAAATTTTTCAAGAAAATTCGAAAAATTATACCATTAATTAATTAATGTTTAAACACTGTGTAGGTATCTTTCTTTATAATTATTAAAAATACTTATATATTTTTTCCAGGTTTCATTCAGACTCTATGGGCGTTATAAGCTATATTTATTTATTATTTTATTGTTATTTTTCACTTAACAACTTTAAACTATATTTTTCATTTCGAAAATATCGGATTTAGATGAATATTGTAAATAAAACCAATAATATGCAGAAGTTGCACAAATAAAGGCGACAGAATGAAAAAAAAAAGACACTGGAATGGAATTTTTATGTTAAACTTGAGACTGACATTTATTGCAATAATTTCCTTTTTATTGCTATAAAGTTATGCACGTTAACACACCTAAATAAAAGGTGGATTAATTCCGGTTGTTTTAATTTTAAACACTAAATATACCCAACAACCAAACTGAAAAAAAAATTATGAAAATTTTATTTTTGTTTAAATACTGATGCACTCCACAAGACATCTGGTGGTTCATTAAGACCCCAAACTTAAACAAAGAAGAAACATTATTGTGTACATTATTTATAAATATTTTCATTTTGATAGCATTTTTAATGTTTTTATATAAAAATAAATTGATTTAAAGTAAAAAATAAGGTGTTTCATTTTATAGTAAAACTAGCTGACCCGGCAAACGTTGTGTTGCCATCTTGTGGAACTGTGGATGGAACAAAATAATATAAAAATCGCGATTAAAAATCAGGGGTTGATCGTATAAGGGTGAAAATTTAGAACTGTATGTATTTTTCAATGCTGAATCATGAAAAAATAAAAACAGAAAATTTTGTCCATAAAATAAAAAAAAAATTTTGGGGTGGACCACCCTTAACATTTAGGGGTATGAAAAATAGATGTTGGCCGATTCTCAGACCTACTCAATAGGCTCACAAAATTTCATGAGAATCGGTCAAGCCGTTTCGGAGGAGTACGGGAACGAACAACAAGATATCGATATGAAACATTATAGATTCATAACTTTTCACAAGATAAATTCGTTGCTCCAGGGTTAGCATTGCTAATAAAAATTATTCGTTGGGCAGTTAATAAAAATAAATATGTTGACTTTGACATTTATAAGGAAATATCCATGGTAATTACATGGTATGTAAGATAGTTACAAATATCGGCGTCTTTTTATTTGCAAAATGTGATTATTGTTCTTTTTTTTACTAAACCCCGTATTTAAACATTTATTGTGTAACAAAACAAAAATTAAAGGCACTTTGCTTAGAGAAAATTTCACGTTTTGAAATTTTTTGGACGCCCTGTATATTTTATTATATATTTGATTGCTGCTCATGGCATCCCAAGGTAAGCAAAACTTTTTATCAAGAATAACTTTCTCTCGAAAAATCAGCAATACAGGATTGTGGTACCCCATCCAGAGCATTTTGACTATAAACTTACTTCCAGAACGATGGTTAGCCTCTTTATGGCTGACGGTGTCATTTTCATCACGTGGCTCATATTTAAGTCCGTGTGGTCGACCACGAAGAGTAGGCCTTGCGCAATGTCGTGGTGGAATGCGATTTCCATTAAGTTGATCATATGGGCCAAGAACTGATAAATATCGAAATCCTCGCCTCTTATTTTTGTTATGTACACCCTGTACAGATCTTTAGTTTGCTTCGGGAGGGAGACGAAAACTCTGGAAACATTGGTGAATTGATATATTGAGTTGGGACCACTTATTGATTTCTTTTTCTTTTGTTACTTTTAACAAAAAATGATCAAAGAACGTCGTAAAGTTACGACATGGGCTTAGCAAACGCTCTAAATAACATTTTAAAAACAGTGAAAATTTAGTTGCATTTATCGGGTAAGTGAATATACAGGGTGTCTTAAAGTTGATAGTATGGGCCTACTGTTAGTATACAAAAAAATTAAATAAAATTTGAGACACGTGGTGTTAAATGGGATGATTTTCAATCGAAAGTATTATCTTTGGGATTTGACAGAAATGACTAATGACGTCATCAATTATATTTTCTCTAGAAACACCCACATTTTTTTAATGTTAAAAAGATTTCTATTTTCTAATAAACTTTTATTAGACACATTTTTCTGTATGACTTCCCGTTTAAAAGTTATAAGCAATATCGCCCTAGAGAGTCTTAAAAGAAACACCACCTAAAAATCACATTAGCGGTGGAAGGATCAAGTAGTCGTTGGAAGATAATTGAATGTTCTTTGTTTCAAGTGCATAAATATCACAAAATATTTGTCATTACTCAATACGAACGTCAAATGTATAACTTTTGTGCTTACAAAATATTTTCTCATTCAGAAAAAGTTGATATGTTGCTAATTTACGGCGGGTCACAAAAAAATTCAAGAAGAGCTGTAGAATTTTATCGAGAAAGGTATCCAGAGCGCCTCATTCCTGATCATAGAACCTTTACAAGATTGGAAGCGACCTTGCGACAAAATGAAGATGCATTTTCTGTTCGGAAAAATCAAATAATTGACCGAAGGGTAAGAACCAGTAAAAATCCAGTCCACAAGGCCAGGCAAGGGCAAGGCCAGGCAAGGGGGTAAATCCAGTCCACAAGGCCAGGATTGTGCAGCAATATTTAGATAACACTTTCCCAGAAAAATGGATTGGGCTTAATGGACATATTCAGTAACCCGGAAAGTCACCAGATCTAACACCCCTCGATTTTTTTATGGGGGGGTTTCAAAAATAAGGTTTACAAAACACCGCGAGATATTAATCATTTGAAAGAAAAAATCACAAACGCTTGTAATGAGTTAAACGGCGAAATGTTAATATACGCAGCCTACAAAGAAGTCAGGCGAGGATTGGATATGTGTCTTCAAATTAGAGGGGGTCATCTAGAGAATAGATTGTAATATGTGTGTAGTATGAAAGCGTTTGCCTTATTTTTTAAGTTTAATTATTGTTATCATCACCTTTTGTTTTAACTGTATTAAAGAATTATCGACTTTAATCTTTTTATTTATTCTTAATGACATTTATGCACTTTAAGCAACGAACATTCAATTATTTTCCAACGACTACTTGATCCTTCCACCGCTAATGAGATTTTTAGGTGGTATTTCGTTTGAAACTCTTTAGAACGATATTGCTTATGCGCGCGCCAATATTCTTGGCAGGAGAAATGACCTCGGATGGAGCGGGGTCGAGCGGGATTATTGCTCTTTACCCACTTCATCGCTGTTGGCCCGGACGCCTCGTAGAGGTAGGCCCTTTCCCCGTCATTCCGCGCCGCCAACGCGGCCGGATTCGATCGGTTCATGGGGCCTCCTCCTGTCCTGGCTGGGCCTCGCCGGCTAGGGCCCTTTCTTCTGGCGCTCTTCTTTCTTCGCCGGCTCGTCTGTGTAAACCCTTGGGGTGTCGTGTATCGGTCGCAAACGACNTATCTCTTTAATTACATAATTGAAAGCATTAAATTTATTTAGCAGTTATTATTTGGCAACAAAGCCACCGCTGGAATTGCCGCCTATTACCAAGTAGAAGAGTTACCACGCTAAATTTCATTGATGGAAGCCGGCTAACAAAAGCCTGCATCCATTTGGGGTTGCCAATTTCCAGCATTTAAGAAGCAGTCTGTGGCGATACGCTATATTGTCTGTGGTATTATCTTTAGGACTTGACAGAAATGACTAATGACGCCATCAATTATATTTTCTCCAGAAACATATCCAAATTGTTTTAATGTTAAAATGCTCTCTATTTTCTAACAAACTTTTATTAGAGAAATGTTTCTGAATTGAATTTGGATAAATCACCCGTTCAACGAATTTTAAAGACCAATTGATATCATGACTACAAGATTCACAACTTGGAGTATTTACCTGAGCGTCACATTGAAAACAGACTTAATTTTATAGCTCAAATTGATCAGAACCTTTTTCGCCACGTTCTTTGGGCGGAGGAAAGTCGGTTTGCCAGTAATGGTTTGCCAAACAGGCGCAACGACCACTACAGGTCTATTGAAAATCCCCACAATGTAAATCCAGTCCAAAACCAAGGCCATTTTGGAGTAAATGTATGATGCGGCATCCTCGGTCGGCATTTCATTCGGCCTTATTTTCATGAGCATAAATTGAATAGCGTGTTACCTAAATTTCCTACAAGAAGAACTACCTGCACTTCTGGAGAATGTGCCTTTGCAGCTAAGGAGAAAGCTATGGTTTCAGCACGACGAGGCTCCACCCCACAAGGCCAGGATTGTGCAGCAATATTTAGATAACACTTTCCCAGAAAAATGGATTGGGCTTAAGGGACATATTCAGTAACCGGGAAAATCACCAGATCTAACACCCCTCGATTTTTTTATGGGGGGGGGGTTCAAAAATAAGGTTTACAAAACACCTTCGCGAGATGTTAATCATTTGAAAGAAAAAATCACAAACGCTTGTAATGAGTTAAACGGCGAAATGTTAATATACGCAGCCTACAAAGAAGTCAGGCGAGGATTGGATATGTGTCTTCAAATTAGAGGGGGTCATCTAGAGAATAGATTGTAATATGTGTGTAGTATGAAAGCGTTTGCCTTATTTTTTAAGTTTAATTATTGTTATCATCACCTTTTGTTTTAACTGTATTAAAGAATTATCGACTTTAATCTTTTTATTTATTCTTAATGACATTTATGCACTTTAAGCAACGAACATTCAATAATTTTCCAACGACTACTTGATCCTTCCACCGCTAATGAGATTTTTAGGTGGTATTTCGTTTGAAACTCTTTAGAACGATATTGCTTATGCGCGCGCCAATATTCTTGGCAGGAGAAATGACCTCGGATGGAGCGGGGTCGAGCGGGATTATTGCTCTTTACCCACTTCATCGCTGTAGGCCCGGACGCCTCGTAGAGGTAGGCCCTTTCCCCGTCATTCCGCGCCGCCAACGCGGCCGGATTCGATCGGTTCATGGGGCCTCCTCCTGTCCTGGCTGGGCCTCCCCGGCTAGGGCCATTTCTTCTGGCGCTCTTCTTTCTTCGCCGGCTCGTCTGTGTAAACCCTCGGGGTGTCGTGTATCGGTCGCAAACGACGACAGTGGTGGTGGTTTTGAGTGAGTTCGTGCAACTAAGCAGCTTAGGAAGCGATTTGCTAAGGTGGCCCTTAGATATTGCTTATAACTTTTATACGAGAAGTAATACATAAAAATTTCTCTAATAAAAGTTTATTAGAAAAAAAGAGAGCTTTTTAACAGGAAAAAAACGAAATTAAGTTGCATATGAACACTCACCCAGCATTATCACCCTGCATTTGAGGTATGCGAAGATTGCAATGGTCATAAATTTCAGGGATGAGAGGTCTAATAGTGTAGTACATGTCCAGCTTCTGTTTGGTTCTCTCGACGCTGAACTTGTTTATAGCAAGAAAAAACTCGATCATATTATCACCTGAAATTCAAGAAGCTTCACAATTTAAATTTATTTGATGTTGTTTTTTTTTGTAGAAATATATATTCGCTTCTCACAACAGGAATCTCGAAAACGATAAGAGATACAAACTAGCTTAAATGGGGGCAAAGTTGCATAATCAGGGGAGCAACATTATGCCTCCAAAAAATTATGGCTGACATGATTAGTTTTCGAAATATTTGAAAAAAAAACGAAATTTTGGGATTGGTTTGTTTCATTTCAGCCTTGTTTGAGGTGATATTGAAAAAAGAACACTTTCTCATGGCCACTTTTTGCCCTCTATCGAATGGCATAATCAATTTTTATTTGTAACGTTTCGTTTCTCCAGGACCATCATCTACTTCATTATTTTAAATACGACACTAGAAATGTTATTACAATTTTTGCAAACTTTCATGACCCCCAATACTGTACTGCCTCGGCCCGAACCAGATTCAGACGTTTTGTCTCGAGAAAAATCCATCTTCAGTGTATTGGTTCTAATTTTATCAAAATTTTTTATTTAGATTTCTTTATATATATATTCATACATATTCATACAAATTCATCTGACATGCTCTTTCACAATTCCAATAATATTACGCTGATCTTCATTTTTAACCTTTGCCAAAACGAAAGTGTTTTTGAACATTAACTGAAATTTTTTAAAGAACAATATTCAGTTGGCGTTTTGGTTGTTCATATGCATTTTTAGGAATTAATTTGTCATAATAAAATTAAAATTGTAATAATGTTTTAATTTTGACAAAACTTATTGAGTTATGTATGATCAAGTGATGGTAATAGTTAATAATAATAAATGTTTTATTGTAACGCGTGGTGGTAATAGTTTAAATAACTAAATGGATTTAACAGGGTCTAACGACACTTACAGTGTACGATAATTCACTAAACAAAGAAATCTAAATAAAAATCTACATAAATTTGGAAAGAATACACTGAAGATTAATTTTTCGAGACAAAACGTCTGAATCTGGTTCGGTATTGGGGATCATGAAGATTTGCAAAAATTGTAATAACATTTCTAGTGTTGTATTTAAAATAATGAAGTTGATGATGGTCCTGGAGAGACGAAACGTTACATATAAAAATTGATCATACCATTCGATAGAAGGCAAAAAGTGGCTATGAGAAAGTGTTCTTCTTTTTTCAATATCACCTCAAACAAGGCTGAAATTAATCAAAAACGGATTTCCAAAATTTCGTTTTTTTTTTTAAAATTATGTTAGCCTTGATTTTTTTAGTACTCCTTATCGTTTCCAGGATCCCTGTAGTAAGTAGAGAATTTGTAACAGCCTCTATAGTTGAAATAATTAAGAAATCATAGAAAATAAACAAGGAGGTGCCAATGCATTGTGTCTTGCTTTGCCATCATAAGTTGAAATATAAAACACTAAATATGCATGTCCATACACGTAGGCTGTTTTGATTATTTGTAGGGCTGATGTAAACAATGAGCCACAGTAATAAGAGCGTACTGAAAACCCCAATAATAACACTGAATGATAATAAAAAAACACAAAAAAAAATTAAATATCTAAGTAATTTCAAATAACAGATTGTAATAAGATACGTACTTGGCATCTCAGGTAGATGAGGTTGACTTTTGACCCAATTCCTAATGATCTCGATATCGCCGTCGACGTCTTTGTCGGATTTTCCAAAAGCTGCTCTAACTCCTCTTCTGTCGTTTGGCAACAACCCCTTGGTGGTCATGTTGAACGTTTCAATTCCAAATCAAAACTGCGCTTTATCAGCAAAATACACCTTTAAACCTAGAAAAAAAATTAATTGTTACCGGTTTTGATAGTTCCACAGGTTAGTTTTTGTGAGGTGAAGTATACCAGGTGTCTCATCTTTTTTTTAAAAAAAGGTACATTGCGTTGAAATTTAGTATAAGTATTTGACCTTTCCCAGCGTCATTTTAGAATATAACTATTTTGAGGTTAGGTTTTCTGCATTGCGTGTTGCACATCTTAACCAAAGATTTTATCGTCAAGAAAGGTACTCCTATTGCAATGAAATTCTAGGTGTCTACATGATCAAGATTTAAAATAAGGAAATCAGCTCATTTATTAGATATGTTTGTAAACAGTTTATGCATTCTTTGACATTGTTGATAGTTCCTTGGACATTATATTAGCTCCTTTAACATTATGTTAGCTCCTATGTTGGACATTAGCTCCTATTTGGACTTTAGCTTGTTATATTAACTCCTATGTTGGACATCAGCTCCTATGTTGGACATTAGCTCCTATGTTAGACATTAGCTCCATGGACAATAGCTTCTTGGACGGACATTAACTCTTTGGACAATAGATCTTTGGACATTATGTTAGTTCCTTCGACATTATCGCCTTATGTTAGCTTCTATGTTGGACATTAGCTGCTATGTTGGACATTAGCTCGTTATGTTAGCTCCTTGGACATTAACCTCTTAATAATTCTTAATATTAGCTCCTTGGATATTATATTAGCTTCTTATGGTAGCTCTTTGCACATTATGTTAACTCCTTGGACATTAGTTCCTTGTGTTTGCTCCTATGTTGGGCATTAGCTCCTATTTGGATATTAGCTTCTTATGTTAGCTCCTATGTTGTACATTAGCTCCTATGCATTAGCTCCTTGGGCATTAGCTTCTTGGACATTAACTGTTTGGACATTATGTTAGTTCCTTCGACATTAACGCCTTATGTTAGCTCCTATGTCGGACATTAGCTCCTATGTTGGTCATTAGCTCCTTATGTTAGCTCCTTGGATATTATGTTAGGTCCTTATGATAGCCCTTTGGACATTAAATTAGCGCCTTGGACATTAGTTAGCTCCTATGTTGGACATTAGCTCTTATTTGGACATTAGCACCTTATGTTAACTCCTTAGACGTTTTAGCAAAAGCATCTTGCGCAATTCAAAAAGAGAGAAAGAACTATATTAATACTGTTCACTATGTATGGTCATATTTTAATATTACTAACAGTGTTTTTCCTTGTTAGATTCATGTAATTTATTACGATAAAATCAGCTACTTTTAAAATAATTGGTGCAATTAAAATAATCGGCAAATAAGCATTATTAGCACGTAATGATTTTTAAGGTAAAAGTTCATTACGTTTTGCCTTCATTAATTGTCCTTGCACAGATTTTTTAATATGAACTAATATACCAAAATATAAATCCTAAGCGTATTTAAGCAATTAATTATCAAACATTGATCACCACTATGTCGTCTGACTTCGAGTGTTTTGAATTAAGACTTGGTAGCTCGGATGTAGAAGTTATACATTACTTTTAGGAAGTTTCAGGTGAAATATTGTACATAGAAGGATTTTCTAACCATATACATTTGTTAATTATACTGTTTGGCTATTTTGATAATATGGGAACTTTAAGACAGTGATACTGTAATCAGGACACAAAGATCAATGTGTTCTGATCCCGAATTAAGGTTATCGCTATATAGCTATAGGTTATCTAAATCATCCTGCAGCAGCATCAATGTAGAAACGTACATCGTCAGCGTTAGCTGAGAGTGATATGCAGTTCTCATCAATATCTGCTACATACATCAGGAACAGAATGCGAGTAAAGATCCCTGAGGTACGTCATTAAGAACATCTTATTCTCTCATATGGGATCGATAAATACAGCTGTCACTTTTTTATAAATGGGTGTGATACTGGTAATCTTTCACCCATTGGGAGGCACAGTAGTTTCCATGAAGCCCATCATAAGAAATGAAAGAGACTGCGGAGACTCAGTAAATCTTGGAAGAAGGAATGTAAGCGTGTTGCCTATTCCAGAGGAATCAGTTCGTATTTTTTTTAAGTTGTTGAATTTGTGCTTGGTTCAAACTTACTTTACTCGAGTGGCAGGATCAGCAGAAGTAGTTACAGTAGTTTTTTGTCATTATCAAAAGGAATTCAGCAAATTCTTAATATATTTAAATGTAATATGTTTATAATTTTTTGTACGATCGTGTAGCAGTTGACATAGATGATCCAGTATCTACTTGGTTTGATTCTGCCGAATTTTATAGTCAAACCCCACGCGAGCATCACTGCTAGGCAACCAAATTTACACCAAAGCAATTGAATTGTTTATCTGTCCGCTATTGTATACACTTTCTTGCTGAGAAAAGTGATTCTTCAGCTAATACTAGTAAATTTTTTTCTCAATGCAATCAATGATTTTTATTTGGTAATTTTTTAAACATCATACGTAAAAAAATAAATTTACAATCACCAGAACCAATCTGGTGGCGTGAGACTTGGGTATTTTTTATGAGTTTTTGGGTCAATGGGTATATTATAAATTAAATTCTATACAGTCTGCTATTTCCAGTGCTGGTGCGTAAAATTGGTATTTAAGATGTGGTAGTAAAAATACAAGTATACACATTTTATTAAAAAAAAACATTACATAATTCATTCTGCATTTAGTTGTATCTTTAATCGATTTCAAGTTTCCATTATAGTCCAGGATCTCGTCATTTTTTAAGGGTATTGGACGAAGTTCTTCTTTGAAAAAAATTGTACAGCGGATGTAATAAACGTCACATATTATTAATAGCTATTTATGTGACAATTATGTAAAATGATATATTTTTAAGAGTGCGACATGAGTGCGACAGTCACATGAGTTGAAAAGTAATTTCGCACTTTTTCTACAATTGTCGTATTGAATTGCTTAAATAAAATTATTTTAATTTCATTGTAAAATAAAACAAATTTCTATGTAAATAACAGAACACTCTTGCTTATTGCGAAATAATATAGTTTAGTGACTTTTGCATTTGCGCATATTTATTCTATGATATTGATATTGAAAGTGTTTAAGGAATCGTTTTCTAGCTATAATTAATGATATTGCTCATGTAATCCAGGATCATATAACCCATATAGCAGTTATTTCCTGCAATATCAACACTTTAGTACAGTCAGTAGTGCAATATCAACACTTTAGTACAGTCATTGAGCCTAAAGTCATTGAAGCTGAAAATCAGCTGTAACCTCCGAATTCTTTGAAACTGCATGGATTTGCATGAAAATTTAGAATAAGGCGGCTCAACTTAGGCTCAAGTTCAAATGTGACATAAGCCCGATTAACGCCTTTTGTTTTTTAGGGGTAAAAACTACCCCTAAGTGAAAAAAATTGAAAAAATTAAGTTTTAAGCATTTTATTGATAAAAATCTTGTTCAAGCACTAAAATTAAATAATGTTCAATGTTCTCGAACATGTTTTATGATATATTTGATCTTTTCGACCCTTTATTTAACCCTTAAAAACTACATCTATGCAAAAAATAATGATAAAAAATTACTTTTTAAAGATTTGGAATGATTAAATCGTGCAATTATTTAAAATAAAAGTTACCTTATAGCTAATAAAAGAAATTTTCCCTTTCAACCCCTAAAAACCAAACCTGTATTGACAAAAATGATAAAAAATTACTTTTTAAAAGCTTGGAATGCTTTAACGGTGCAATTATTTAAAATAAAAATTCCCTCATTGCTTATGAAAGAATTTGTATCTCATAACAGTTTTCAACCCTTATAAATCACCCCTGTGCTAAAAAAATGATAAAAAGTTACGTTTTAAATCTTGGAATGCAATAATTTAAAATAAAAATTCCCTTATATTGTTTATGAAAGAATATTTTACTTTTACCATTTTCAACTCTTATAAACTACTTATACCCTTTTACCAATATTAATGTAAAATATTTTTATAGTAGTGTATAAATGACAGAGCTGAGCAGAGCATGTGCAATGTGCAGACCTTGACCCCAGACGACCGTAGGTCGTTGACCTTGACCCCAGACGACCAGAGGTCGATGACCTTGAGGTGACCTTGACCCCAGACGACCAGAAGTCGATGACCTTGACGTGACCTTGGGGCGACCTTGACCCCGGACTACCAGAGGTCGATGACCTTGAGATGACCTTGACCCCAGACGACCAGAGGTCGATGACCTTGACGTGACCTTG